GTGAGTGCTGGTTTCAGCCTGGCAAGACAGAAAACACCCAGCAAGCACCCAAAAGACAAGGCGTTGTATCTGAGGGAGCCTAAGGAATGCAATGAGAACTGCTGGGAACTGGAAAAGGAAACAGGTCTTCTGTGCAACACTTCGTGGGCCACTTCCTCTTCTCCAGGCTGCCTCTGTGGGAGGCCTGAGTGCTGTCTCCTCCTGGGGGGCTTGCCCAGGTGAGCCTGTGGCCACTGCCGGGCCATCCCCAAGCAGGAGATTATTGAGGTCTGCGCCTGACCATCGTTTTGAGCTTCACGTCTTGGCATGAAAACAACTTGTCAGTATTCCATTTCCCCTTCAGGTTTTGTTCAAGACTAGACCTCTACGGTATTCAAATTAACACTAAAAGCCACACAGGTGTGTGCTCGAGTTCTCCAAGATAAAGGTGAGGCTGGAATGCTCCGCTTCTGCTCTCACAACAGGATTTATTGTAGGATCCGGAGGAATGTTTGCAGCTGTAAGGCTCTGCATTTACTGCTGGCACTTTGGGTTCTGACAGACACATCTGACTTCCAATAGGACGGACTCTGGTCTCCTATTATCTTGGCATGTCACAAAGACATGGAAACCCAGCCACTTCTGTGGGGCCACCCTGCAGAGGGCCGTCCAGCCTCAAACGGGTGCACTTGCACATCCCGCTCTGCACATCCTGAGGTAAGCTGTACACATCTCCACCAAACACGGAATGAACCACTTCCCCGATCCCTTTGCTCGTTCGGAAACCAAAATCCTCAGCAGCAATGAGAACGAATACAAAGCATGTGCCAGGCTCTGCTAGGTGCTCACGTGAGTCAAGACACCCTCACCAGGACCCTGACAGCCAGAGGGCGCTGAGCACGGAGGTCACTGGCAGCAGATCCGAGTACTGAACACAGAGCTGCAGTCTCAGGAGCCAGATGGCTGGAGAGGGCTTCTCCGGAGCATGAGGTCATCACGTCTGCCTCCGGGGTCAGGAATCTGAAGATGCAGCACACCTGTGTCCTCCCCAAATACACAAAACCTGCATCTTGCCTTCTTTCTCTGTTTATCTTGAAGCCCTGATTTTCTGCTACAATCCCAGTGACAAGTGGCTCTTTTGCAGTCTTATTTCTGGCCCTATGTTCTGCTTTGCCTCGGCTTTTCTCAGGCCCAGAGTGAAAAGGGGCCTCAGGCCATGTCTTCGTTTGCTGCTCACATCCCCCTCTGAGCCAGCAAGATCACTTGCCCCTGACCTCAGAGCAGACCCCAACAGTCCATTAGTCAGTCAATCAACATGTGCTACCCTCTGGCCTGGGAAACCCTGTGTGAGAGGCAGGCAAGAGACTGAACAGTCCGTGCAGTGAGGTCTCAGCTATGGGAATGTAGGGGGCCACAACCAAGACTTGGGGGTTCACAGAAGGCTCCCCAAAGGAGGTGGCCCCAGATGAGGCAGAAACGGGAAGAGAATGTGCCAAGATGAAGTCACAGCAACAGGATTAAGAGCAGTAAGGCACCAAGTAAGGCTGTAGCACCAATAACGCCATCAGGGTCCCGAGACACTGCCTGGGAGGCTGGTGCAGATGGGGGGCTGGGCTCACGTCTGAAAGGGGAAGGGAAAGGTGAATGATTAACAAGGACCCTTTGACTCGAACAGAAGGAACATCCCAAGGCAAACCCGCGGAGGCAAAGCCGACTCTGACCTGGGGGCGCCCAAGCTGGGAGTTCAGGGTTGGTAACGCTTTGGATCTGCCCTGTACTTGGCATCTGCGGCCAGTCCCGGCCGCGGCTCACTGCTACTGTGGACAAACCTTGCCGCTTCAGGGACCCTGACTCCACCTCCCCCACGAACCCTTCCCAGGGTTCCTACCGAAGTCCTTTAAACGCAGTTCCACAAACTGAATGTCAGGCGCACACCTGCACCCCTCCACCACCTCCCACCCTCGGCAGCTTCACCTGCCCCAGGCTCCTCTTAGGACACATGTGCTGCAACCACCAGACTTGCCACTGGAGCTGCCATGCTTAGTTCAAGAATTAATATTTAAACCCCAATCACGGGAATTTACACGGATCCCTGTTAAACTTCATTTGGCTGGTTTGGGTTATCTCAACCTATTGAAAGGGAGTTCTGTTTTGTCATATGACATATTGTTCCCAGGGCTACACTTTACATAATTCTGATAACCCTCAATTAAGAAATGAGCAAACCCTGGGACACAGAATTTCAGAACCAGGTCTCCACACCTCGACAAGCTGGTGCAGAACTTAAGTAGAGCCTGGGGTGGCACAGGCTTTTCCCAAGCCTTTGGGATTATATGGAGCAATTAGATCCTTTATTTCACTCTAGAGCTTATATGAATAATAGATTTAACTGCGGAGTTTTGAATATGCTTTGTGAAAAATACTTTTTAAAAAACTGCATGTATCATGAACTCTTGAACGGAGAAGATGCCATAAAAAAAGCGGGAGATATTTTGAACTTTCCTGATTGGACCTAGAAGGCCAAGATGTCAGACGGAGTCTTGAGGGAGTAAGTCCCGAAAAACATGGAGTTTCCAAAGACTGAAACAAAGCTATCTTCTGTGGCACTCCTCCCACGGAAGCCTGTCAAGTTTTCTTTCCTATTAGGTGTTTCAGTTGCTTAATGTTTGATTATTTTCATTTCCACTCTCTGGCTACTCAGTCCATTCTAGGATTTCCAGTCGGTCCTCAGTAGGTGGAAGGGTGGGACTGTGGTTGCGGGCCGAAGCTCCCATGTAGATTGCCAGCTTATTGTTAAAAGAGAAAATAACCTGGGACCAGCCAGAGGAAGAGGTGGGGAGGGCGCAGAGCTGCTGTGCCCACTCCTCAAACCTCCACACACACCAACCCAGAAACTCTGTGAATGCACGTCAAATAAGTGAAATTCCAAGTCCTTTTAACAGAATCAGAGGTGAGAGGCGCCTGGGTGGCTCAGTCAGTTGGGCGTCTGCCTTCGGCTCAGGTCATGGTCCCGGGGTCCTGGGATCGAGCCCCATGTCGGGCTCCCTGCTCCCTCTGCCTCTGCTCTTGCACTCTCGCTCTCCCTCTCTCAAATAAGTAAAATCTTTAAAAAAAGAAAAATGTGCAGAGTGCTGCATGCCAGTGGCTAACATGGACGCTGTTCATGTCTCTTTTTACCCCTGTAAACCCGGTTCATACCCCACACGCACCTGGCAGGAAATGCAGAGGTGATCACGTGGTCGCGCTCCCTGTCCCTCGAGAACACAACTGGCGCTGCAGCGTGAGGGCCTGTCTGTGGAGGATGCCGGCGGGATCGACCACGCCACAGGCTTCTCCTGACAGGAAGCTCTGTTCCTCCCGTCTCCACTCTAGCCCTCACCCCCCAACCCCTTGCTTATACTGTACTTACAGGAGACAAGCTGAGAGTTCCCAGGTCTGAAAACAGACCTTGTTCTGGCCGTTTGTTGACTTTCAACAAACGGAGCCCCAAACACAAGCAGGAAGAGAAAGAACAAGCTAGCACCCCAGCCTCCCCCCAAGTCCCCAGTCCTGTGACGCAGTGATGGGCACACCCATGTTTGTGCGGCACAGTTCACGGCCTCACAATCCAGGAGCCTTGTCCCTGCTGCTCTGTGTTTGGGGTCTGGGCACCTCCTGCGGTGTGGACACAGACGTGGCCATCAGGAAGCAGGCTGCTCGGTGTTACAGGGTCCTGTATTAGTCATGTTTCTTATGTTCTGCGTTTACCATGCTTTAACATCTTGGGGGCCTTGTTGGCCCAGGAGAGGCTACCCCTCCCAGGGCTAACTCCTAAAGATAGCAAACACTTGCCCTGTGAGCTCACCTTTCATGAGCAAACCCACCAACCCAGAACCTACACTCAAACCGCTTCCTTTACCTGGTTCTTACGCACCAGCAAGCACTTCCTCTGCCCTGCGTCCCCCAGGGCCAGCACCCTCACGGCCCAGAGCCTGCTGAAATTACACTACCCAGCCCATTCATTCCTGCAGAAGCCACACCTTCTCTCTCTGCCTCCTGACCAAGCCTGGTGCTTCCCTGAATGGCCCTGCACAGCGAGGCATGTCTCTGCCTCCCGGGAACACTGTGAAGAGTGAACACTCCTTTCCACACAGCCGTCTCAAGGTCACCTACCACACCTGATTAGAACCAACCACACATATTCTCAGACAGGTGCAGCCCTCCTCTGGATGTTTCTTCTCTGGTCAGAAGAGGAGCGCTGTCAGCAAGTGCACTCCCAAGTGAAACGCTCCCTATACCCACGGCTACCTGTGCCTTCCAGGTCAGGTGGGATCATGCAAATGCCACCCAGACACCAACACACCCAGTGCTTCTGACCTGTGATGTGTCCCCTCAACGGGGGCCACTTTGCTGGCAAAGGCAGGACTTCACGGTGCCACCTGCCTGCACACAAGGTGCACGGTGGATGTGCCCGCACGGCTGGGGTGACGGCAATGCTTCCTTCCTGAGACTGTTTACAAAAGCGCAAGTCATGCGCCCCCAAAAAGCCAAGCCAGCAGCTTCCTCGCTCCGTCTCATGCGTGCCTGATCGTGTAAGCTCTGTGGCACCGTTTTCAGCATCAGGACACTGACAGTACTTGGGAAAGGGAGGTGCCCCACACCCAGAAGCATGTTTCTCTAGGTCAGACTTGAATAAGGATTTTTTTACTTCCTTCTGACAGCACGCCACAGCTGTCTTGCCCTGGGGAAAACTGGACTTGGGACCATTGTTAAGTAGACCATGAGGACGGCGTTTCAGGCGTGAGCTGAAACCCGCACAAACAAGACAAAGATGATCCACCTTCCTAAGGCAGAGTCTGTGCACGTCTGAGAAGGGTGTGCAAGTGCCCAAGTCAGGAGGACCGACTGCTGCCATCAAGCGAAAGGCTTTCACATGCTTCCCACGACCACCTCCGTTCTCAGCCCAAGTTCCAAGTCCACCGGTGTCGTTGGGCTGCACCGCACGCCTGGAGCCCAGGACCCACCCCCTCCCCGCCCCTCGGTCACCTCCCCCCTTCCTGCCTCTGCCGCTCGCCGCCTCCTGCTCTGCTACTCAGGCTGCTGCCCGCACCCCGGGCGCCGCCCAGGTCAGGGCTGGGGTTGCTGCTCGCCGCCCCCAACAGGTGGTTCCTGGGGGAGAGGTCACCATCTGCACAGGGTGCCACCTTTCCCTCTCTCGTTTGCGTTGCCAGATCAGCCGTCAGCCGCACCTCCTCAGGACTCACGGTCCTACGCCCTTGCCCTTTCCTCCTCTTGTACTCCAAGATCTGTTTGTTGAGCGCCTCGTGGTCGATCCCACACAGACTTGAGCACGTGGCAGAGGCTGGGGTGCCTCGTGGTTCAGGAGCATCCAGGGCCCCGGGGCCCCTGGAGGGAGAAGAGGCATCTGGTGAAGCACAAATGAGGCAGCAGGGCAGCGTGGGCCCTGGGCCAGCGCTCCCACTTCCCACCTCCACTTGCCTGTGGGCTGCCCGAGTCCAGGGGAAGCTGCGGGTATGGCACAGGGCTCCCCGGCCCAGAGCCACTCTGCTGGTGCTCCTGGAGCCCGCGCGTGGTGCAGGCCAGCATGGTCCCCGCACAGCCCCTCCCACCAGCCATGTTTTCCATCTTTTTCCCCAGTTAAACATGGCTACTGTGCCAGGCCAGTTTCACAGAATTACAGGTGGGGGCTTTTAGATCTTTCACTCAGGTTACTTGAGAAACCAAAGGAAAAGATCAGAACTGGTGCAACCCTTTCAAAACCCAAATTCGACCAAGTCATGCCTCTAAACCCTTTCCTGCTCAGCTCTGGAAGGTCTCACACCCACGGGCTAGGCTCCTCGTGGCTTGGGGCCTCTGCTCTAGCTCCGCACGCAGGATGGTGGCTGTGGGCCCTGCTGGAGGTCCCAAGAGTACCCTGGACACTGAGGTACCCGTCCAAGGAACAGAGGCTGAGCGCCTGCTGGAGCTCTTCCCTCACCTGTGATGGGGCCTCCACGTACACCCGAGTCCTCACGTCTCTCTCTCAGTGACGGCCTGACTGAAAACTGCAATGCTGCCCCCACCCTCCCACCTCCTCATCAGCCAACCAGGCCTTCCTGACCTACAATCATCTGTGGCTCCCTGTTGGCCTTGCCCACAGCAAAATGCAAGCTCCAAAGACCCCACTGTCTGTTCTGTTCACGTAAGAATCCTAGCTGCTAGAACAGGGATATAATATGCACTCAAGAAAACTGTGCTGAGTGGATAAAGAGGGTGAGGGAGGGACACCCGTCCTCCCTTGATGAGTCACTGTAGCCTAGACTTCTGGGGGATCACAGGGGCCTTTCCAGTGACCTTGCTGAGGTGCTGGAGCTGCTGCAGGCTGCCACTGGGACGGGCCACAGGCCACTGCCAGGCTGGGCCCCCGGGCACAATGCCAGGCCTGGCCTGCATACCCGGCTGAGGGTGCAGGACTGTTGTAGCTGCCATAGCAACCAGCAATTCCACACCTGGACATCTGCCCAAAGAATCAAAATCACATCCCCACATACCTGACGTTGTCTTGCACACAATCTTCTTTTTCATCTGGGGGTCCAAAATCGGCAATGGCCAGTAACCGATCAACCTGAGGACAGATGGAGGGTAACCTGATAAGCCACATCGCCACCACTGGCATCAGAGCCTGTGTGAAGCCTCACCGTGCTGGCTCAGACATAGGCCTTCTGACTGCCCATCCCAGCCCTCTGCTGACACCTCCCAGTGAGGACGCTTTCAAACATCTGCTACTTATAATCACATGTCCTCTGATAACCGACTTTTTTAAAAGTACGCTTAAAACTTGTAAACGTCAAACTTATGAAGAAACCAGGTAAATGTTAGTTCAAGTAAGTAATTCCTAATGAAATGTAAAATACTTCAATTTTGCCATAGAATTCATGTGTCTGGAGAAAGGAAGCCTCCTGCCCTAGCGATAAAGTTACAGTCTGGGGTCCAGCATGTGAATCCAGTTGCACAGTGGCCGAGGGGCCTAACCTGGAAATGAAAGCTCTCCTCGTCAGGGCACCACACAGAGCCCTGCTCCCTGGACATTGAGGGCAGCTCACACCTTCACCCCCCTACCTGCGTACCCAGGACGTGCACCTGAGACCCCAGGCTGCTGCAGGGCAAGCCCGGGAGAGCCCAGGACCAGAGCCAGTCCTTCCACCACAGCACAAAGCACCATCAAAAACCAATGGCACGGCAATAAAACCCACAAATGTAAAAAGAAGCAGGACCAGAAGAAAACCAGTCCACAGAAAACAGAAACAGGAAAGACGATGCCACAAAACGAGAACTTGACGTCTCCCAGGTTAGCTCGGAGAACACATCTGCTTGCACCTCCCAAGGGACCTGTGCTGGACACACGACCATTCTGCACAACTCCACACTAAGCAAACCTCACAAGAATGGCCAAAAGACTTGAACAGACTTCACAAAACAAAGAACAGCCAACGGGCGCATGGGAAGATGCTCACAAACATCAGTCATCAAGCAAATGCACGTGTGAGCACCCGCAGGGCCACCACAAGCACAGCAGGACCGCTGACGTCAGGCAGGAGCTCCCAGTGGTCCAGTCCCATCTGACCAGCAGTTCCTGAAAATCAGACATACCTGCCACTCCCACATACTGACCTCAAACACGCAAAGACGTGCCACAACGGTTCACAACAGCTCTACTCACAGTCTCAAAAAAAAAAAACAGAAAAAGAAACAAATGTCCGTGAGAGGTGAATGGGTCACTTAGTGACAAGGAACCACATACACGTGAGACGTGAATCTCGAAAACAGCGCTGAGCGATAAAGCCAGATGTGCCTCTGTGTACGTGGAATTCCAGAATTCTAACCAGGCAAAACTAATTTACAGCGGGTGGTAGGGAGGGTGAGGACTGGGGCGCAAAGAAGGGGCCGCAGCACAGAGGCAGGCCCTCCTCCATCTGGCGCACTGCCTGGAAATCAAGCATCACCAAAGCTTCTCCACGCAACTGCAACCAGATCCTGACATGTCCACACGGGCTGCAGGGACAGGAGCGGCTCCACGCTGACCTCTGAGAGAAATCAGGCTGCTCGGACGCCCTCTCCAGGGAAGACTCAGGATCGACTATACCAAGACAGGCAAGCTGCCCATGTGGTTAGGCGTGCTCTGCCAGGCGCTGGCTTCTCAGAAGCCTGGCGGTCAGCCGGAAAACAAGCAATTTGTAATACTGTAATAAATTACAATACCGGCATCGTAGTTGATGCGTTTTTTTTTGTTTTGTTTTACATTTTCCTTCATAATCATGATAAAAATCAATGTTTTAAAAATCCTCTGATTGAAATGTAACACACGGGAGAAGTATACAAACCGTTACATGTACAGCTCGAGGACATTTCGCAAATGCACGAAACTTCTGCACCCATGGGTGTTCCTCCCCTGACGTTGCAGAGATGAACCCCAGAAGCCTCTTCACGTCCCTCCTGCTCACTCCCTTGTCCAAAGACAGCCATCAGTTTGACTTCCATCCCCAAACATTAGCCACACTTGTCTGAACATTCTATAAACAGAACCACAGGGAACAGGTCCTTTTCTCTGGCTCCACATCAGCTGCGAGGTGAGGGGAACATGTCCACCCACCCACCTGTACCTGGGAGTGTGACCTGTACCCGGGAGTCTGACGTGTAACCAGGAGTCTGACTCATACCTGGGAGTCCCACCCATACCCAGGAGTCTGGGAGTCTGGGAATCTGACGGATAACTGGGAGTCTGACAGGTACCCGGGAGTCTGACACGCACCTGGGAATATAACCCGTACCCAAGAGTCCCAGGAGTGTGGGAGTCTGACGTGGTACCCGGGAGTCTGACCTGTACCTAGGAGTCTGGGAGTCTGATGCATACCTGGGAATCTGACAGGTACCCGGGAGTCTGACAGGTACCCAGGAGTCTGGGAGTCTGACCTGTTCCTGGGAGTCTAGGAGTCTGACGCATACCCGGGAGTCTGACCCATAACCCGGGAGTCTGACTGAGGGATACCTGCCGCCAGCACTCCGGGTGAGTCTCGTGTGCACACATTCGTTTCAGGTGGCGGGATGTGCGCACCCTCAGCTTCTGCTGCTAGCTGTTTGGCCCACAGCACAGAGCAGGTCCCCCAGTGTCATTCTGGCCCACTCGGTATGGTCACTAGTGGAAACCTCTTGGGGGAAGGGCAAGCCCCAGCATCTGTGTGGGCCAAGCACTCCTGCATGTATTTACAGGCGCTGACACCAGCCCCGCTAAACGCTATTTGGGGTAGAGCTCATTACCGCTCTTCAAATGTTCAGACCAGTGAACGCTACCCTGAGAATGCAAAGTAAGCTGTTGCAACTACGGCCAGCCCCTGGCATTTCCAACTGCCTGCGACTTTTCAACATGTGCAACCAACATAAGATACAGAAATGAGTGGATAGGTACAAGACTCAAGGTTTCATCCATAATCCCCAATTTCAACTGCGTGTCTATCCAAACTGCTTTACTACTGGCTGACTTTAACCCCTATTTCAAAAAAACACCACCCTAACTTAATACGAATCATCTGCCCCAATCAGAGATCCCCCGGCCCCCTCTGCTTGCTTCCGACTACAGGAACTCAGACGCCTGAGGACAATGAGACGAGCAGAAGCCCAACCTTCCCTCTGCCCCCAGCACAGGAAGGACACAGGAGGGCAGATGCTGGGCAGGCCCAAGTGGCCTCCATGAGCCCACAGCACCGTCTGGAGACAGAACGGCTCTGAGATGCTTTGAGCACTACCTGCACCTACCCCCTTCCAATGACTTTTTCTAGAAAGGAGCCCCCAGAGCCAGGTAGGACCTACCTCCCCACAGAGGGACCAGCCATGAGGGAGAGGACTCTCCCTTCAGGTGGGTGGTACTTCCTCCTACCTGCTCCACCAACCGTGCATGGGTGAGTCCCTTGCATGCATCTTCCCAGCACACCCCACAATCTAAATTCTACTTGATTCTCTAAAGCTGGCACTAGTCACGTTACTCCTGTTTCCTTTTCTAGTGAGGAAAATCATACATGTATCAAGGTAATTATTCATACAATGTTTTCAGTGTTGCTTATATAACAAATAACAAAAAATGAAAACTTCCACTTAGATTTGTTTTCCTCTGTGGATCTAAATACTACCTAGTCCTGGGGCACCTGAGCATCTGACTCTTGGTTTCGGCTCAGTTCATGATCTTGGGGTCCTGGGACTGAGCCCCATGTCAGGCTCCGTGCTCAGTGGGGAATCTGCTTGAGATTCTCTCTCCCTTTGCCCACCACCTCCCACCCCCACTCATGTGCACCTGCCCTTTCTCTCAAATAAATCTTTAAACTAAATAAAAAAAATAAAAATAAAGAAATAATATCTAGTTCTGTGGTGAGTAACAGCCACCTAACTATATTATCATATGAATGATGAATGAATACCATGAATACCACTGACGGGGTTTTTTGTAAACTTTTTTAAAAGTATAACACACCTTAATAACTACTGAGTAACTACCACTCAGAAAGAAAATGTATATAAACTTACAGGTTGCAACCTTTATAATTAACTTATAATTAACAGAACGTAACCTTCGGTGTAAAGTAACTTAGATCGAATCCACAGAGGAAGACATTTTGTAAGTCGAGAAACCCAGATTTGGTTTCCTAGTCAGAGATTTAGTGGTAAACGTTAAAAGCCAGAAAAAGCAGTTACCTCTGGGGAATCTGGGTGGGACAGGTGCCTGGGAGCCTCACTTTCCATTTATACTCTTGGGGATTGATCACTTCCTTTTAACTATACCCATTATCATTTGAATGTTTGTACTCGTCCGCTAAACTTCTGTTACGGGAAGTGCATTACTTCAGAACTTCAGAGCCGTACCTTAGCCAGAGCTGCATTTCCTTTGTCCTGAATGAACACTATTGGCGGCACATTCCTCAGGGTCTGCTGGGACATCAAAAGGTGCCTGGAGAGAGACAGAGCAGAAAGGAAAACATAAAATCACCTCATGGAGAGTAAAACAAGAGATCTGCTGTCACATTTTTCAAACACGAAAACTTCAGCCCAGGGCATCCTAGCCAACTGCCACATCCCACAAGGGATACCAAACACATCATCCCAACTGTTTCTAACTGCCTAAATGCAACTCTTGAGATCCTTACGAACAACCTGATCTGAGCCTGGAAGCCTCCTAGGCATCGCAGTGGCCATGGGCTTCGTGGTCTGGGCACCAACAGCCAGTGGACGTTCCCTGGCAACAAGGCCACAGAAGTGCACCGAGGTCCTGAGGCACGAGTCAGACACGCAGCATCGTCTGCAGAGTCGCTCGTGCATGCAGATGGAGGTGAAGCAGCTGTGCAGACAGCCTCTCCACAGTGACAACACGTCCTGGGAGTGGTTACAGCACAGCCTGGTACACTAAACCTCGGCTCATCGCAAGAGCTGGGAAAAGGGATGGTCTGTTCAGCTGATGTTCTGATTACCTAACACTAATCAGAAAACAATACTGTTCTCGCCAACACTTGTTGGAAAACTTTCTCGTTTCTGTTAACAAGAAAAAAATAAACTGAGCACTCTTTGATATGCAATTTAGAAGAGACTCCTAGGGCCTCCTGGGATGGACGTCAGGAGAGCTGAAGCGGATGGTATGTAAAAAACACTGGTTCCACACAGGACTCATCCCCTTCTCCAATAAATGGAGTACGATGGACAAGGGAGAGTGAGACGGACAGAGAAGGGAGGGAAGCAGAGAGGAGAACCCAGTTCTGAGAGTGCCGGTTGGTTAGGTTTCTACATTTCTTCAAACTGGGGGGAAACAGAGTAACTCCTTTACTATCACCCAGCTCCGCAGTTCTCAAAATGCTTGGTCTCAAGACCTCCTTATGCTGTTAAAAATCAATGAGAACACCAAGGAGCTTCTGTCAATGTGGGTTCTATCTGTCCACATCTATCATACTATAAATCAAAACTCAGAATTTGAAAAATATACATTAATTCATTTCAAGGAACAAACTCACTAAGTGTTCATGCGTGGGTATTTTTAATGAAAAATAACTTTTTAAAAAATATTTTATTTATTTATTTGTCAGGGACAGAGAGAGCACAAGCAGGGGGAGTGGCAGAGGGAGAAGCAGACTCCCCGCTGAGCAGGGAGCCCGATGCGGGACTCGATCCCAGGACCCCAGGACCATGACCCGAAAAAAAAAAAGACACTTAACTGACTGAGCCACCCAGGCATCCTGAAAAATAACTACTTTAAAAAAAAAAATTGAGAAATGTGGCGTTGTTTAGTTACAAATTTCTTCACTGCCTAGCTTAGTTGGATTCTCATCTCTCCATCTGCATTCAAGCTGTTGTTATTTTGGCTGAAATATATGAAAATCAGGCCTCACACAGATCCCTAACTGGAAAAGGAGTATGTGAACAGCACTTCAGAAAAGAATGATCTTCTCTGATAACCCACAGAAAGTCCACCAGTGATGATTTATTAAGGGCTGGCTGCACCATGGAACCTGAAGCCAGGCCAGCGTCACAGTTACACTAAAATCCACTGGTCTTCCTGCACTTTGAATCGAGCTTTCCCTACACTTGATTTTGTAGCCTCCTGTTTTGCTCGCTTGGAGACTACGGATTCCCCGTTACCCAGGTTTTCAGATGCTTGCACCCAACACTACACTAGTCAGCGTTACCACCAGTCTCATCCAGTCTTCAAGTATCGGAATGCTATCAGACTCCCAGTGGTAGACACAAGTTTTCTAAAGTCAATTTTCATTTGAAAGCTTGAATTTTGGGGCATCCGGGTGGCTCAGTCGGTTAAGCGTCTGATTCTTGGTTTCAGCTCAGGTCGTGATCTCAGGGTCGTGTTGGCAGGGAGTCTGGCTGATGACTCTCTCTCCCTGCCCCTCCTCTCCCAGATAAATAACTGTTTAAAAAGAAGAAGGCTTGAATTTTATCACTGGCAACAAATACAGTTGTTTTGTGTGACATGACAGGTTCACTTTGCTCATTTTAGAGAAAACATCAAATAACCACATCTGAAAAAGCGCAGCTAGCTCACTTGTTATTTCAGTGAAGGAGCGTCTGCTTCAGCTCAGGTCAACTGCACGTTTCCCAAGACGACCGTCCCACGCCAGCAGGGCTAGTTTATGCTTGCTCCCCACTGCATACCGAGATGACATGCACCCAAGGGTCGGAATTTAATAAAATTAGTAACTTCTGCTTATTCGTCAAGGGTATTCTTGAGGAAAACTGCGCTGCTTTTTCCCGTGAGCAGTTGGCATGAGGCTACAACGACCACGGCGACATCTGGATGTCAGGACCCCCGAGACGTCTAGGACCACACTTTGAGAACCACCGTCCTAGACTACCTCCCACATGAATATGTAAATTACATTTTGGAATTTAAGAGTATGCTTCCAAGAGTTTCCTTAAAAGCAAAAACACTTAGTGAACAAGGGGGAGATTCGAAATGCAAGCCGAAGCAGGCGGGCTGAGAGCAAGGCGCCATCACCTCATGTGTGCAGCACTCCTCTGCAGGACGGCCTGTGTGTGCGCGTTCTGTTCAGCGGAGACCGTGGTCTTCCAGTACACGCGGCAGGTGGAGAAGTCTGGAGTCAGAGAAACCTGAGCCCACCCACCCCAGCCGCGAATCACTTTCAGCTCCCGTGGATTTCCCGCACACAACACTCAGGAGACAAAAACGGGTGCGTAGCCTTCACCTTCAGGCACCCGCCACCCACAGGCAAGCGCTCCAGAGGGTACCGCCTCAAGCCACCATCTCCTGCCGCTCACTCACAAGGGAGGAAGCTGGGCTCCGAATCCAAAACCTCAACGTCCCTGACCCCTATCCCACAGCGCACATCAGAAATGCCTGACCTGCTACTTCTTACCCTCCGTACGTCCCTCTGGCTAAACTCAAGTCTAGGGCGACACAGACCGCAGGAAGACAGGAGCAGACCCATCCACCCCACACACGTCCTGGGCAGCTGACAACGCCATCGGTGCCTGCACACCACACATGTACACATGCACCCCATCTTTACTACTTAGATGGTCATGCTGAACCTGGCTTCTGAACTCAGAGACCTTGTGAATGATGTGGGGCCTCCTTCCTAACCACTAGGCTGCCGGCCTCCCCCGTTCCTGCCACCCCGCCCCCGAGTCTACCTTGGAGAGCTGCACATTCAGGTCACAGATCTCTTGGCTCACTTCAGCGGTGCACAGCAAATCCGTCAGCGTTTTGTAGAGGAGGCCGTTCAGTGCCCTCAGGCGCACGTGATCGTCCCTCCTGGTCTTCTTTGAGGTGCTCTTCATTAGGAATTCCAACTGGGATGGCTTGTAAATCTCCATCCAGAAGAACAGACAAAAAGGCCAATATTACAACTGTACATTAAATTTGCTCTTGGGGCGCCTGGGTGGCTCAGTCGTTAAGCGTCTGCCTTCGGCTCAGGTCGTGATGGGGCTCCCTGCTCAACGGGAAGCCTGCTTCTACCTCTCCCACTCCCCCTGCTTGTGTTCCCTCTCTGTGTCTCTATCAAATAAATAAATAAAATCTTTTAAAAATTTTTTAAAAATTAAAATAAAATAAATAAAATCTAAGAATTCACACTACCAACGTCTCTAGTCCCACCCATGCAGACCGTGTGTCCTCAAGTATGGAAATGGAACGACAGCCAGGCTGGAGCTCTGCCGACTTCTGGAGCCTTATGCCCACCAGAGTCTAAAGCAGCTCCTCGCGGCTGCTCTGTACTTACCAAGTGAGAGCCCAAGGAAGGACCTTCATACCAAAACTTCTTTCTATGGGGAGAAAATAAGAACTATGATACTGGTGGCAAATTAAAGAAAATAAAATCATACACACCAACTCACACTACAATACCACAATCCTTCTTAAGGGGCTAAACTTGGGCACAGAAATGATGTTACTGGAGGACTAAGAAATTCAGAATTCTAGTCAACAACATGGGTTGTAGAGGAGACAAAGAGTTTTAATTCAACCTGGTAATGTTTACTTAAGGTCTACAATTCCAACCCTGAAGGTGGAGAAAGAAAACCTCAAAAGAAGGCCTACCAAACTGCATGTGAGCACGGTACCCGGGGTATGCAACCACGCATTTGCTGGACTGGACGAGAAAAATGGGTGGTGATGGGGGAGGGTTCACTGCTTCGGTGGGAGATTACAGAAAGCAAGGAAAGCCTCCTGGATGAGCCATGTGGTGGTGGACTGGAGCTGGACATCAGTATGGACTCAAGTGACCCTGAGTATCAACGCAGTGGTCACACAGACATGTTTACAGGCAAGTGTACATGCAGGGGTTAACAAAAATGTATTTTCTGCTTTGTCAGCTGAAAAGGCCTAAGGGACAGACACCCCAGCTCTCAGATTATCACCTCTGATGTCGTCCTGCAATAACAGAGCTTCTTGGAGAAATGGCTGACTCCAGGGCTGAGAAAGGAAGTACTAAAAAATGTTTTTAGGGGCCCCTAGGTGGCTCAGTTGGTAAAGCATCTGCCTTTGGCTCAGGTCATGACCTCAGGATCCTGGGATCAAGCCCCATGTTGGGTTCCCTGCTCAGGGGGGAGTCTGCTCCCTCTGTCCCTCACCCACTACTCATGCTCACTCACTCACTCTCTCTCAAATAAATCTTAAGAAAAAAAAGTTTTTAGGGGCGCCTGGGGGGCTCAGTTGTTAAGCATCTGCCTTCGGCTCAGGTCATGATCCCAGGTCCTGGGATCGAGCCCCGCATCGGGCTCCCTGCTCTGCGGGAAGCCTTTTTCTCCCTCTCCCACTCCCCCTGCTTGTGTTCCTGCTCTCACTATCTCTCTATCAAATAAATAAATAAAATCTTCAAAAAAAGAAAAAAGTTTTTAAACTTAAAAGCCGCCACAAAATCCCAATGATGAATGTGCCAAAGAATAAAGGAGCTAAATAAAGAGCTCCCAATGGTCAAAGACAAAACAATCTGAGAAAAATAAAGTAGTATTAGGTGAACACCCCGAAGTCCACGCTGATATAAATTAGTAAGTGCAGGACAAGACACGCACCTCATGGAGAAGTGCAAACATTCAAGAGCACGACTCCCCACCCCTCAGGTGTGCCTGCCCACGGTGAAGTCCCCTAAAGAAGACAGGACACAATGGGGGGTGGGTAAACCTGATAGACATGACCTCAGTCAGTCATCAGGGCCAACAGCGACCGTGACAAACACCCCTCTGTAGCCCTCCTCCCCAGCTCCCGTAATGCCAGCATTAACGGCGACAAGAAAACAAATCCCAACCGGGGAGCACCCTAGAAAACGTCTAACCAGAGCGCCTCAAAACCATCAAGGCCATCAAACACGGGCAGAGACGGCCAGTCAAGAGGGGCCTGAGAAGGTGATTCAATGTAACGTGGTCTCTGGTTCCTGGGGCAGAAAAAGGACTTTAGGTTAGAACTAAGGAAACAGGAATAAGGTGCACCTTCAGTCAACAATCACGTACGAACGAGCACGCCACACTAACCCATCACAGAGCAGACACTGTGGGTATCTGGGAACTCTGCACTCTCCGCCGACCTCGCTGTAAATGTAGAAATGTTTCCAAAATCTAGTCCATTAAAACGGACGTATACCCATCACAGAGTTAAAAGTGTGGTACGGAAATCAACCTGTTTTATTACAGACCTCTCAGCAAAGAAAACTCCTCAAATAAAGCCCACAAAAAAAACATTCAGGTGGACAGAAACGCTCACCTATCTTTCCCTCTCTGATGAGTCTACTCCCAAAACTCCTGCTGGCAACAACAATCAACAGAATGTTCCTGACATACTGTTAGGGTTTCGTAAACTTAAAACTGTGTTACCTCAACTGTAAATAAATAAAGAGAAAAGGTTGAGGTGGGAAACTGAGCAAATGTTAAATAGTGACGAGCGGGATTACTGGCAATTCTGCAATAATCGTAAACCTAACGAGCAAGAGCTACGCTTGCTGACCAGGTGCTGAGACGGTGCTCCAGCGGGCGCCCCAGAAACCCACCCCCGCCCCGCGGACGCCCTCCCCTTGCCCCATGGGCACCGCCACCGCCCGTGGACTCCGCCCCTTGCCCCGGGTCTCCCACCCCTTGCCCCGTGGGCACCGCCCCCGCCCCGTTGGCTCCGCCCATCCTGTAGCCCCTCCCCCTTGCACCGTGGGCACCGCCCCCACCTTGTAGCCCCTCCCCCTGCCCCGTGGACTCCACCCCCCACCCCGTGGGCACCGCCCCCGCCCCGTAGATGCCCTCCCCTTGCCCCGTGGGCCGCCCCCCTCTCGTGGACAGATCCCCCGAACCTGCGTCCTGCCCCATGGACACTGCCCCTGCCCCCTACCCGAAGTTAGTCGCCCTCTGCCACAAGGGCACCGCCCCCACGCCCAGCGCCCCCACCCAGACTAGGTGCGCATTACTTGGTTTTCGAAGCAAATTTCTTGAGTAGGTTCTTGCCGCAAGAGACCGGCGAGCCATTCAGGCCTCGCGCACCACCCGGAAGGAGAGCCGCGTAGCGACCACGGAGTAACGCCGGGAGCCCCTCAAGAAGCCCCCACGGTCGGAGAGCTACCACCCACATGGCTGCGGCAAGAGCGCCGGGGCGGGGCGACGTGGGGGGACGCGGGGCGTGGGGACGTGAGGCGACGCGGGGCGGGGCCGACGCGGGGCGGGGCCGACGCGGGGCGGGGCCGACGCGGGGCGGGGGCGACGCGGGGCGGGGGCGACGCGGGGCGGGGCCGTGAGACCAAGCGGAAGCACGCGGAATGAGGTGAATTCGGAGACGCAGTGTAATCTGGGGCGGGGCGACCCGCGTACGGGGCGACGTACCTTCAGGGCGCCCTGTGGTACGCGGTGTGCCTACAGAGCGGGGCGGGGTCTAGAGGCCGGGGCGTTGCGGGGCGATGCCGGGGGGCGGGGCCTGCAGACGCGGGGAGCGCGGGGGTCCGTGCGCCGCGTGGAGTGCGGCTGGGAACGGCGGTCCGGCCGGTGCGCCAAGTGGGGGAGCGCGCCGGGCCCCGCCCGCGCCCCCCGGCTGAAGATGAGAGCCGGGAGGTGAGGGGCGGACGACCCGGGGCTCCTGGAGCGCAGCCCCTGCCGCCTCAGCAGCCTCCTGTGCGCTCCAGAAGGAGGCAGGCGCGAGCCTGGGGGTCCGCCCGGCTCGACGCCCCGCGCCCCTCCCGCCCGCACGACCGGGGCCGCAGTCTTCGAGGGGACTTGGCGCACGGACGCTGTCGCTGGAAGGTCAGAATGTCAGGGACACTAACCCACGGCAGGAGGGAAGGCGGCAGGGCCCCCGGGGAGATGCAGACCCAGCCCAGGGTTCACCCCAAAGGCCGGTGTCTGCCTGCTGTTGAGGGGGCACCAGCCGCTCTCTGCTGCGCTTCACTAGGCAACGTACCGCTTCCCTCAGAGCTGCCCGGAGGAGGGGGTGAGAGAGGGAGCCAGGCGCGGAGCAAGCTCTCAGTGGACAGCATTACTGCTCTTAAGGTTTTTTGTCCAAAAGAATTTAAACATTTTTTTAAACGTATTTCTTTACCTGATCTGCACTCCCTAGGTGGGGCCTCAAACAGGACCCTGACATCTTCCGACTGAGCCAGCCAGGCACCCTTTGGCCAAAAGAATATTAAACCTATCTATATAATGGACTCTAGTGAATACACAAAATAAGATTTTTTTTCCCATTTAATCTGTCATTGCACTGATTAGCCCACGTAAGATCATTTAAGTAGCACTTCATTAGGAATGGGAAGGCCATTGAGAGAAGCCAGGATGCTTTCCACCAGATTCTCCATCATCTGTCGTCTGGCTTGGTGCGTAGCACTTCCGATGTGAGGTGTCAGAACGATGTTCCTCAACTTCAATAAAGGATGATCTCTGAAATGCAGATTAATTGATGAAAACTGTTAAGCGTGGTTTGGTGTCTCTAATTTCACATTCTGGTTTGATACCCTCACGCTGAGAAGGGGAGGCTGTGGGTAGCCTTACAGCATGACCACCACTCATCTAACGCCAGTAAGTCGGGGGGCAGCATTTTGGGGGGCAAAACAAGTATCTTAGTCGCACCCAGGCCATTAGCACACAATGGCACGACAGGGGGTGGATTAAACAACACTGGCCCACAAAACAGAAGAGGCCCTTGGGGATCTGGATGCTAGTCTAGGCATCATGGGACAGGCTGAATGTGCCTTCAATGAGTAGTGGCATTCAGAGGGGAAAGAGTAACTGGAATTAGATTAGGGGGCATTCTCTTCCCGGAAGAAGGCAGAGGATGGGAGTCAGCCGGAAAAAGAAGGAAGTGTTAGTGAAGGGGGTCAGGGGGACTCAAACAATGATGGTAACCCCAGCAGCCAGCACTAGGAAAGGGCAGTGACCTGACCCGGCAGGGCCTCTTGACTGTTTTAATACAAAGGCCAAAGTAAGCATGCAGCAATAAGCCTCCATCCTCTGGGAATCTTATGGACCCCAAACCTGTGGAAATTCTCTGGGGGCACTTGTAATTTATATCAATGCACTATGACTGTCCTTGCCCCCAGGGCTGATCAAACTGAAAGACAGAGCCTATAATACTGTTAGCAGGGCAGAAACTACTCAGAAAAACACTTCCTTCCTCCTGCTAGGAAGGAGGTGGGCCCTACTATCTAACAGAGACCGGACACCAGTCTCAGTATGAGGTTGTCCCTACGACTCAGAACTCAGAAATAACGGAGTCGTGGCCAATTGTAACACCACCTGTCCAGAGTATCTGGCGTACAGGCAAGACCTGATTTGTCATATCATGAAACTGAATCATACCAGCACAACATTGCAACACTGGCATTGCTGAGACTTAAGTCACATGATAACACTGACAAGCTTTGGGAGAGACCCCTGTCCTTGCCCTGTGACTTGTTAGTGAAGCTACCAAAAAGCTCATTCAGCAGACTAGGCAACAGGTGAGCCCTAAGCTTCTAGGTTTCTGAATAAATTGACAACTGTCTAAAATGCTCATGCTTCTTAATTGATATTGACATTCTTTTGTTCTACATTAGTAGTTCTCAAACATTTGGTCTCAGTACTCTCTTCAGGTCAATATTTTTTTTTTGTTAAATTTTTTTTTTTTTTTTAAGTAGGCTCCACACCCAATGTGGGGCTTGAATTCACAACCCTGCGGTCAAGAGTCGCTCACTCTACCGACAGCCAGCCATGCACCCCAGGACCTCTTTACACTCTTTTTAAAAATTTTTAAGATTTTATTTATTTGAGCGAGAGAGAGTGCAAGTGAGAGGGAGAGGGAGAAGCAGACTCCCCACTGAGCAGGGAGCCTGACATGGGGCTTGATCCCAGGACCCTGGGATCACAACCTGAGCTGAAGGCAGACACTTAACTGACTGAGCCACCCAGGCGCCCCTCTTTACACTCTTAAAATTGAGAGTCACAAAAAAAAATTTGTTTTTATGGGTTGTATCTGTCAACATTTATTGTATTAGAGATTAAAACTAAAAAAAGATTAATACAATAACAGAAGCACACATTTTATTAGTTGTCAGAGTGATGATGTCATCAGTCTGTACTGAAACATCTGAAAAATTATGACTGTACAGACCCCTAAAAGGGTCTCCAGACCACATTCTGAGAAACTATTCTAAATGAACTTGGTTTGTTTGTTTTTTTTTTCAGAAATGTAAGTTCTATGGTCAGTCTTGATAAACTTAAGATATTAAATTTGGTTGTAATGTCAAACGTCCAGCTGACAGTAATTTGCTTACTAGACAAATCAAAGCTGGAGGAATCAAACCTGGCTAAATGAATGACACCAAGATTCAAAATAAATGACAGAATCAAGACTCCAGTCCCAACAGGCTGGATCAATGGGTCAAAACACAAGCATGGAGTGCCTGGGTGGCTCAGTCAGTGGAGTGTCCAACTCTTGATGGAGACCCTGGAGTTGAGGCTCAGCAGGGCGTCTACGTGAGACTCTCCCTCACCCTCTGCCCCCCCCATGCATGCATGCGTGCATGCTCCATGCACCCTCTCTCTCTCTCTCAAAAAGTACACAGGGGCGCCTGGGTAGCTCAGTCAGTTAAGTGTCTGCCTTCAGCTCAGGTCATGATCCCAGGGTCCTGGGATTGAGCCCCGCATCAGGCTCCCTGCTCAGCGGGAAGCCTGCTTCTCCCTCTGCCTGCCATTCCCCCTGCTTGTGCTCTCTCTCTCTCTGACAAATAATTAAAATCTTTTAAATAAAAATAAAATGTCCTTAAGACACAGAAGCAAATTACATTAAATAGAAATAAATGTAAAATTCCACACATATATTTAAAAGACAATTGAGGGAATAATTTCAATTTTTGCTGACTAAAAATGGAATGAACTAAGAATGCAATGGGCCTGCTAGGAATACACGCTGTGAAACCAACCTGCATGGTCAGACCCCAACATGAAGCCTGTGTTCAGGTCTTGGGAGCACATTATCAAAGGACCTCAAAAACTAAAGTGCTAGAAGCATTAATGATGACAAGGTGACTGGAAATGCTACCATTTCGGCTGTGATCGAGGGACCTGAAGATACTTAACCTCAGACACCTGGCAGTTGTTGGACAATACACAAGGTTTGTAAAGAGGACAATGGTCAGGGACTCTGATGCTCCAGGGGGCAAATAAGGGTCACTGGCTAAGGCAAGGACTGTTCTGGTTGGATAGGAGCAAGACTGTCCAGTGCAGTCTCCACCCATGGGGGCTGCTGCCCGAAAGCCCAGAGCTCCCTGTGCACGGAGGTGTTGAAACAGATGTCTGGTCATCTGTAGAACCGGACAGGTCACCAGAGGCCTGCTCGGACCCCTCCATGGCCAAGACCCTGCCAGTTTGTGACTTAACACGGCTGCAAAAGCCAAAAGCAGTGACTGCTGGAGGAGTGCCCTCCGTGCCTCGAGAGAGATGGCAGTTCTGTCCGGCTTCCTTACCTGGGCAGGGGCTCCGGGTACGTCACGTCCAGCGCTGCCCCTTTGATGACCCCAGTCTGAAGAGCCTCCATCAGCGCGTCCTGATCGACTAACAGACCTGAGTCAACGAGACAAGGCCTCTGCATTACTACGGTTGGGCAGGACCTGGGAAGGACGCTTTGGTCACCGTAGCTGCTATTCCAAACACGTCTTGGTCCTGTCAAATGTCTGACAAAGAACGTGTGAGCTTCATTCTGCCAATTCGTTATTAGACGTGGCAAGCCTGCCACGTGCCAGGCAGTGCGCTAAGCCCCGCGCACACACTATCTCACTGAATCCTCCAAGAACCTGGCGAAGTCAGCGTTCGTTTTACACGTGAGGAACTGAGGCCTGACCCCAGCTCACACAGCTCCTAACATAGCAACCCAGATCTGAGCTCAAGTTTGTTTAACCTCAGGCCTGGGCCTGTCTCACTTTACACACCACCTCCCCAGGTTAGGGACACAGCCCCCAGACACTGCAAACACACTTTAAAAACTAAACCACAAGCACAATCGACAACTGTTATTTCAAATACAGAAGAGCAGAAGCTGAGAAGAAAACCCCTTCCTTGAGGCAGAGACTGGCAAGGAGCCGAACGCCAGCATCCTTTCCTCTGACCGATGGAGGGGCAGCCTGCTGGTCAGGACACAGAGCGCCCCTGGTGTGTGGGGGGCTGCTGCTGGAGATGCCTCATCCCACAGCCCTTTCCTGGGCAGATTTTCCAGAATTTTTGAGTATGTTCACCAGCCTCTGACATTACCGAAACTACCTAATGCAATGGTCCTTCCGGCTCACCTACAGGGTCTGAATTTTCAGAGGACTCTCAAGCATGTTAGCTCAGCCCTGTGCGGTTTTCTGCTCTTCTGACACCAACTCTTTTTGGGTTCCCGAACCCAATTCCAATATGGGGGGAGGCCTCCTACAAGACCAAGAAATTCTTGGGATAGCAGCAAGGTGTCTGAGACTTCAACACAACTCTGACACTGTCTGCCTTGGAAATGGCATCAGATCCCACAGGTTAAGGGCTCAGTCCTATAAGACTGCCTCCTGCCCCCGAATTCAGACACTAGTCGGAAGTCCCAGTCTCAGGCCTGGGCCTGTCTCACTTTACACACCACCGCCCCAGGTTAGGGACACAGCGACTTTTGGAACCCACGCACTCAAGCTGCCAGGAGGTCCAACCATGTGATCAGAGGGCTGGAACTTTCAGCCCCACGCCTGACCTCTGGGGAGGGGAAAGGGCCCGGAGGTTCAGTCAGCCAACGGCCAATGATTCAATCAATCGTGGCTATGCAAAGAAGCCTCCATAAAAACCCAAAAGGGCTGGGTTCGGAAGCTTCCGGATTGGTGAACGCCTGGAGACTGGGAAGAGTGGCTGTCAGGAGAGGGCTTCTGACTCGTGCTTCTGACCAACTGGCTGCAGATTGGAGGTTCCAGTGACCTTCTCCATAATTTGCTGCAGCGGCTCACAGAACTCAGGGAAACACATTTACCTGTTTGTTAAAGGGTATGACAAAGGGTAGAATCAACAGCCAGATGAAGAGGTGCACAGGGAGCGGTCTGGGGAACGGGTGTGGAGCTTCCATGCCCTCTCCTGACAGCCACTCTTCCCAGTCTCCAGGCGTTCACCAATCCGGAAGCTTCTGAACCCAGCCCTTTTGGGTTTTTATGGAGGCTTCTTTGCATAGCCACGATTGATTGAATCATTGGCCGTTGGCTGACTGAACCTCCGGGCCCTTTCCCCTCCCCAGAGGTCAGGCGTGGGACCGAAAGTTCCAGCCTTCTGATCACATGGTTGGACCTCCTGGCAGCTTGAGTGCGTGGGTTCCAAAAGTCGCCTTCATTAACAAAAGACACCTTTATCACTCTCAACACTTGGGAAATGTTGAGGGTTTGGGGAGCAGAGAGCCAGGCGCTGTGGATGAAGACCACAGCCGAATGACCAAACCTGTATTGCTTACAAATTACAATCTCTGGTGGCAAGCACTGTTTTCCTCGTTTTACGGATGAGACATGCGTGGCTGTTGGTAGCCCCAGGTGTCACACGTCCTCTGGCTCCAAACCCCACAGAGGTGCCTGGGCTGGATGTCTGACAGCAAACAGCACTGATCCTCAGATTCTTTATAAATGCCACACCAACCAACCCACAACACATGCAACTACGTCTTGTATATAAACACAAAGCACTACATAAATGTCGAATAACCAAACTAAGTTACTTATTTTTTAAAGTGAAGGCTCAGAAAATTCATCCCCATAAATTTTGCTTAATTACATCTGGAAAACCAAACTATAATGCCCCTACCCCAAGTAGATGCCCAAATTGGGCTGTGAAAGCCCCATATTGTAACATTCTCATCCTTTTTGTTATTAATTTGAGTTTCAAAATGAAGTGAAAACAAAAATCAGAAATATCTCTAAACAGGAAGTAGACTCCCTCAA